TACCTCCCCCTACCCTGTTTCATTATGTTGAAATACTATTAATTCTTAGAACACTAGATACAGGTATGTTCATTAAATATTTTCAACTCAGTCAAGATGGATAATCCTTTGATTAGGAGTTGTTTTAGACTGTGTGCAACTCTGATTTTCCCTTCAATGAAATGGGTAATTGAGAAATGACTGAATAAACAAGAGGAAGCATTAAAAACTAATTGGAACATACAATAGAATAATGGGCTATGCTAACAGGTTAATATACAACAATTACATAACACCACTGTACATTTGCAACTAGTCCTATATGAAGTATGTTAGATATTCCACTCAAAAAATAAAATAAATATGAATTTTGTCATTTGAAAGGAGAAATTAGCTGAATGAAAGTATCTATAACTACAAATATATGATAACACTTTATATACTGTAAGGATATTATAATAACTATAGTAACTAACCTTGTTAAATAACAAAACATTCTCTTATACAGAGACTATATATTTAGATTTTGACTGTTATACTTAGGAGAAAGAAAATTATGTACTAAATTTTAAAAATGATTTAAAGTACAAATAGTCATTTTGGTGGTCTTTTTTTACTTTTTATTGAAAGTAAAATGAGTTTAAATCCAAAAGTAATAAATTCATTACATATACCTCTTGACAAAATATTCTTTAATATTCCAATTAGTTAGCTCATTCTTTATAAGTCACATACATTGATGTGCTAGAAACCAGACAGGCCTCTGTGAAAACTAAACAATAAAGAAGAAAATTAACACTTTGAAAAGAACTGAGTTAAAGTACTAAATGCATACAGACACTTTTATCATAGTTGCACCAAAGAGGCTCTCCTGCATCTCTGGTATATAAATCACGTATGTCTACCTGAATTAATAGCTTTAGGTAGCTACAACACTTTGATGGGGTTTTATGTCAAACAGGAAAGGGTGTGTCTGGAAATATGAGATTATAAGAAAACTTAAATGTTAACTAAAAAAACTGTTATTGTACACAAATAATGCTGTTATTATACACAAATAATACTGATACCTTAGATAGTGCTCAGGCTTACAAATTTCCAGGTTTAATGCCATAAAAAATTAGAGAGAGAAAAAGAAAAGAGGAAATTCAAAGAAAAGACTTTGCCTGCCTTTAATAAAGTGGTAATTAAATGGAGTAAATTAAAGGGTGTTCTATTCACAATATAATAAAGTTAATATGACATATTTTGCTGCTAAAAATTTCAAAACTCTGTTAGTTACTAATCTTACTACAATCAGAACTGTACCAATCACAGCAAAATACATTTATAGATGAAAAATAAAAACAAACACAACAATAATTTTTACAGGGCTACATAAATATACCATATATATATATATATATATATGGCATAGCTAAAATCTGAACACATGAATACTAATATAAAGAATATTTTTATGGTGCAGGGAATTTAGCTCAGTGACATAAGCGCCTATCAGGCAACCACAGGGTTGTGAGTTCAATCCCTGGTACAAAAAAAAATATTTTTATAATATTTATGACTATTACAATGGGCCTTTATTGATCTTTCAAGCCAAGAGTAGACACGTATTCTCATTTGACTTCCTATCACAAAAGATAGACTAGCTTGCATTCAAAAGTCTGAAAAAGTTTGGAATCCAGGAATGTGAAATATTTTGTATTTCTATAGGTTTTAAAACTAAAGGAAAGTTTTAGGATTTTCTATTTCTTCTATATTAGAAGCACTGTAGGGTGCTCACAGGAGGCTTTGTAAATTGAATATTTTAGCATCAACCATATTCTACAACTATATTAGCGCCAACATATTCTATAATCTATATATGCAGTGTAAAAAAGGGGGGAGGCAGTGGGGGAAGACTTTCAGCACGGATAGGACACATAAGAAGAGTTTTCAGGAGACCTTAAAACCTTACTCAGTTTTGAAATCCCTTTTCCCAGTAAGGTAGGAGACCAATTCCTCTCCATAGCCCTTCTTAATTTGTAATAGAACAATTCAAGCTTGGAACAGTAAGTACAAAATGTTATACTGAATTTATAAAAGTGGAAAAAAAGATTAACAATTGGAATCCATTAGCACTTTTCTAACAATACAGTTTAAATGAATTTTTATCCAGAATAAGATTGCTAGAAAAATAGTTCTGCAAAATAATGCTGCCTGACCCAATTAGATCTTTCATCATAAGACATCATAAACAAAGAGTATTTTAGTTGGAAGAAATCTCACAGAGGTGTTTTAGTTCCTTGTATTGTACACAGGAGAAAGCTACAGCCCCAAAAATGGTTAAATGACTTTTTAGAGTGCCTAAAGATTCTGAGCCAGTTCTAAAAAAGCAATGTACTGCAAATAATACTCCATTAAGTAAGCTGCTATTGGATTAAATAAAAAGAGACACTACTAAGTTTATAGTTTTTAAATAAATAAACAGAACCACATCAGTAACCTAAAAAAAGACACTGAGCTGATGTTTACCCAAAAGCCTGATGTGTTTTACTGTTATGTTTCAAATACAGTACCCCACTAAAAACAGTGTGCTGTATGCTTACATCATGGAAAGAACCTTGTATCAGTGAGTCTTTACAAAAATACCAGGGAGGGTAATATACAGATGATCCCAGTGAACAAAGAGTTAACTATAAAAAGCCCCACCTCCTTGTAAATAATCAAAGCTTTTTTTAAAGCAATACAAAATGTCACCACAGGCTGACGCTCTTTCTACAAGAATAATTTTTTTCTTTTTGCTTTTTGCTACCTCGGATGCTGAGCACACATTTCTTTGCCTTTATCTTTGAATTCAGTTTTGGTAGCTGATATATACATATTCGTTCCCTTCCTTCAATTAGACAGCCTGGAATAGCTTAAATATACCAGTGACTACTGTAGGGGTCAGGGACTAAATGACTTGCAGGGGCAGTTTCACAAATTCGAGTTTTTGTCCTCCAGTACTGAATATACACTATTAAAAATGCTCTAGAAATGAAAGCGGGCAGCAGGGAAAGTTAGCTGCAGGATGAATCCGCCCATTGTCCAGGGACCTCCAAGCTGCTCTAGGCTAGACAGATCACTCTGAGGGCGGTGCAATTGCCACCTCAAGTCTTGCTGTTGCAACATAATCTTGCCTTTCAAAACGCTTTGACATGTGAGAAGTTTGTACTATGGCAGATCAGTGATTCAGGGAAATCGGGAACCCAAGGCTTTGTAGCCTGCGACCCCCGGACAAGCTGTGGTGGTAAGTGCTCCGGCTCCCCAAGCACAGCTCCTGGCCCTGGCCCGCTGCACACAGGAATCTCTGGCGCCAGTCATCACAAAATAGGTCTGAAAGCGGAACCTCTGCTCTTCTGGCAGTTAAATGTGTGTTGGGGTGGGGTAAACCTGTCCTCCTACGTGGCCAAAAGAAATTACATTCCTGTTCAAGCCCGAGAAAAAGGATACTGGGCATGTGTGTGCCTCGGTGGTGGTGGGGACTCTTAAAGTCTACAAAGGGTTAAATTGCAAAACAACTCTGGACTGAGGAGCTTCACCTTTCCCTAGCTGCAGCACCCTCGCCTTCCCTGCTGGACTCTCACCTTGGCTTGAGTGTGTCCTTTCTTTTCCCCATCGGATATCGAAGGTCAGAAAGTGAAACCCACACTGTGCCAGACCCCGGAGGGCCCCCAGACCCACCTCCCCAGTGTTTTCACACTGACCCACCTGTTTTAAATCCAGTTCAACTCTGATTTCATGGTCTCCACCCCCAGAGCCCGAGGTTTCGTCACTAAGCCTTTCTGTCTCCGAACCAGCAGGTGAGCTCATTACCTCACCCAGATATATAACTTTAATAAACAGATCTGGAGAGGACACCTCTCCCCTAAACCCACACAAACGCACATTGCGGAAACAGTGAGGGCAGTTCACAAACCCTTATGATCTCTCCCTTGGCCTCTGGTCACCAGCCCCACTTTGCCCCTTTTCCTGGAAAAGATTCAGAGGCTTTGAAACCTCTCTGAGGTTGCTAATCACTGAAGGGATGTGCAAGAATAAAAAAAAAAAAATGGGAAGCGAAGTGGTTTTAAAAAAAATTCTTTGCAAAAAGCAAAAGAAAAGGGAAAGAAGGAACAGAAATCAACATAGCAGGAAGTAGTTTAACCAGCAACTCTACACCAGGGATGGAAAGCAAAACTTCAAAGAGGAGGAAAATATCAAGTCCAGCGAGGAAATGAACCTGCTGCTGTCAAGCGCCTGTGAGCGCGCAGAGCACTGGGTGAGGACGAACTCCTGTCACCGCCAGGCGGGCCAGAGGATGCCAGGGCCGGGACGTCCCCGAGGGAGAAAACGGGATTCCCTGCGAGAGACTGTAGTTGCTGAGGATTTTGCGGGGTTTTCCCCCATCCTTTTCTAATGGCCCGTGTAGTACTGAGGACTGAGGCTTCATCGACACGTCCTAGAAATCCACCAGCCCCTCCTAAGGTCTCAGAAACCTGGCTGCTAATTCCAGGTCAGCCCAGATTTTTGCTTGTCGTCACCCTCGCACTGGCCACCCACCCCGACAATGGCACTACAGGGCAAGCTTTAGGATTTTTTTTAAATGGGATGCTTTAAGTCTTTCCCTTCTCCTCTACTCTACCCCTCCCACCCCTTTACCTCGCACCAAAGGGAACTTACTAGGGGATTTATCAGGAGTACTCATTTCAGCCAAGAGCTAAACGAAAGGAAAACTGGCCAGGGACGCGGAGCACTGGACTGTGGACTTTGATCTGAAGGGCTCCTCGGGGGCGAGAGCCGTGGGGACCGGGAGACTCGGACGGACCTAGCCGCGGGCTCCCGCAGCCCCAGCGCGGCCTCCCCCCAAGTTCCGAAGCCGCCCCAGGCGCCCCGCTCCTCGCCGCCCGAACTTGGGCCGCGCAGTGAAACCCCGGCGAGCGAGTCCGGCCACCGAGCCGGCCCGGTCCGCGCGCGCGCCCGCTCCCCCCGGCTTCTCCTCGCCGCCCGCGCCCGCTCACCTGGCCTGAGCACCGCGGCGGAGACCAGGAGCCAGCGGAGCAGACGGCGGCACGCGGACGCCGCGGGGGCCATGTTCGTCCTCCTCCTCCTCCGCGCCGCGGGAGGGGGCGTCGTCCCGGCCCGCGGTGCGGCGGCTCGTGGTCCCGACGCGGCCGGGCGGGGCAGCTGCTCCTCCTCCAGACGCGCGGCCCCCGGGCTGTGGCTGCGCCCCGGCTCCGCGCCCCCGCAACTTCCCTCGGCGCGGCGGCGCCCGCAACTCCTCAGCTCCTTGCGGGATCGCGACCCTCGCTCGGCGGTGGACACGCGAGTGACACAGGAAGGCGGACGAGCTCCTCTTCGGCTGGTTCTTCTCTTAGTTTTCTCCTCTTGCGGTGGTAAGGATCACAGTAACGGCAGGAGCAGGGCAGAGAAACAGCTCGGCGTGGGCAGGGGTCGCCGGTGGGCGGCGGGGACGAGGGGGCGGCGGCCGCGGTCTCCTCAGGTGGCAGCAGCGGCGGCGGCGGCGGCGGCGGCGGCAGCAGCGCTCCACCGGCTGCTCTGAGTGGAGGGACTGGGAAGCGCGTGTGAGCTGCTTCTCTCCTCCCTCCCGCCTCTTTTCTCCCTCCTCTCCTCCCCGCCACCCTCCGTGCGGCGCTGAGCAGGTGGCTGGAGCGCGGAGCCGCAGCCTAGAGGCGCTGCAGGACCGAGTCCAAGACCGAGCCAGGCTTCCGAGGCTAGGAGGCCGGGCTCAGCCCCGGGGAAAGAGGGCGGAGCTTCTTAGAGGCTCCGCCCTCCATGTGCACGCCACCCAATCAGGACTGCGCACGGGAGCCGGACGCCCCCGGTGGGGTTGGCGGGATTGACACTTCCCGTAGGGCCGCTAGGTGGTCCGCCTTCACTTCGCGCTGCCTCTCCCCCTGGCCTGTGGTTCAGAAAGCTAGATTGCTCTCCTAAGGCACCTCGACTCCTACCTCACTGGCTCACGTCTCAGTTTTTCTTCCGCTGTGATGTTTCAGACTTCCTGCCTTATAAAGACTCATGGTGTCGGCAGCGGGGCTAGGAGAGCTCCCGAGGTCAACGGGCGGGAGCACAAGGGCTGGAAGTAGTGGCCCAACTGGGAATTCAGCTCCTGGGAGCTGGAGCTGCTCCGGGACAACTCCGGGCCAGACCCATTGCTCCCGTACTTCTCGCAGCCCCCTTTCTTCCCAGGACCCTAACACGTCCTTCTTAAAGGCAGATGATTGGGTCGACTGCCTGGAATCAAATGGAAAAAGGATACTTGCTCCCTGCCCCCCTCCATGTCCCCAGTGAAATTTTTATCTGAATTTCTAGACCTTACTTCGTCATATGGATTTTCCCACTGTCTTCAGAACTGAGTGCGTGTTACTTCTATTTTGAATTAAGCGGCGATTTCAAGTTACGAAACAAAATCTCGTTACTCATATAAAAAGCCAAACTCCTGCCTGTTAGTTCCAAAAAACTAGGCACCCCAGGAGATGGACACTCTTCTCAGGCAATTTGGAAACACTGCACCACTTCCCTGGCGGTGCATGGGTAGCTGTGTCGCTGTCAGATCAGGCAGAGAGTGTGCAGCAGTATTTTCCTCTGGAACACCGGGGTGGAGCTATCAGAGCCCCAAGTGGCTCTGCATCAGGAATGCAGGATCATAACTCTCATCCCCAAAGCGTAATAAAATTGTGGCCCCTGAACCACTTTGCTAGGACATTAAATGGTGTTTCCTGCATCACAGGGTCGCCTCTGTATGAGACCAGACTCCTGCCAAGAATGCTAACTAGTAATCCTCACATACTGCTCTTCTTTAAAAGGCTGCAAGTCGCCAGCTGCATAAGGTGGGAGGGTGTGCAGGCAGGAGAAGCTTTACACACACACTTTGAATTTTTATCTTGTGATTAAAAAATATTAACCTCCAGCTTTAGCTGTGATTTTTTAAAAGAGTGCCTGTCTTGTTCTCCTGATTCTTCTTACATTAACAGTATTGTAGAGAATAGCTGTATAAATAAGTAGCTTCTCCCACTTGATTTTGACAATAACCTTCATTTACATCTTATGAATCAACAGACAGACTGATGGCTTTTAATTGTTTCAGGAGCTGCTAATATGCCAGTAGATTCCTATGAGATTCTTTTTGAGAATAATTTTGAGCCACATCTCTAAGTGGCCTGTATTAGATCAAACCATCCTCACAGTATGTTTAGTCTGGACCTTTGGACTTTCTGAATTCTTTTGTTTTGGGATGGGAATTATTACAACATAATTATTAAAGATAAACTTCAAAAAAGTCTGAATACAAGTATCTGATAGGTTTTATTACTGTATGGTCAGATCATGGCCAACTCACCCTCTTTCAGCCTCAGGCTCTTCAGGGTTGTACAAAGTGATAACAATAGTTCTGCCACATTGAAGCACTGTGAAGATTAAAGATGATCACATAGAAAACTGATGAGATAAAGTAAAAAGAACTTGGGTTTTGGAAACCAGACAGAGCCTTGTTATGGTCCTTGATGTGTACTTATTCTGTGAGTAACCTTAAGCAAAAGTCAGGCTGTCTTAGTGTTTTGACCCATTGGTATATCGCCTTCCAAGGTGTGCAGCTAATTTAGGTCAAAATATTGACATAAGTGCTATATATTTAAATAAACAGAAAGATACATTTAAGTGTTATAACTCCCAGATGCATATATGTGTTTGTGTGCATATAATATATGTTATATGTATTGTTGTTTCTAGAATTCCTTTCAAAGAGAAATGTGTCTTAGTTTAGGAAAATGCCCTGAGAAGCTATTTGGAACAGTAGCTCCAAAGGCTATTGATCACATATAATTAAGGGCACAAATAATGGTAAGACTACACTAGATTAAGCAAAATGATAAAATACTGAAACAATAATTTAGCAAGGGAATAGAGCAGGAAGCTGAAAACAGGAAAGAGACATACAATCATGCAAGCATGAGTTTGGAAATGATCAAGTCCTTTAAATATTTTCAAATTAATTAGCAACTTTATTGAATACATATCATATGTCAGAAAATTCTAAATAATGTATATGAATTAGTGTATATGATCTCCCTTTAAAAAATCCTACTAGATAGCTGCAATTACCACCTTAATTTTACTTAAAAGGAACTGAAACCCAGAAGTGTAAAGTAGCTTTCTCAAGGTCATGCAAGCAGTGACTCCTTACAGTGGTAAAGTCAGGATTGTATGCCAGGCACTCTGATTCTAGAAGTGAATTGCTGCCCACTTTGCTCACCAAAGATGCATAAAAATAATTTAATGCTTTTTGGGGTGACGAGGTCTTGATTTAAACAAAATTTTAATAAAGTTTGCTATCCTTAAACATATTTTCCTTGAGGAAGTTAAATTATAACACTATCTGCTTGGGCCAGGTACAGTGCATTTGAGATGAGGAGACCATTTCTAAACTGAAATAATGCAGCATAAGCAAAAACTCAGAGTCAGAAACAAACATGAGGATGTAAGCTTCGAAAAATACTGTAGTGAAGAGAAGATTTCTCTTTCAAAAAAAGTCTCCCAAATTGAAGTGGAACCCACTTTACTAGATTCTTTAGAGAAAGATGATTTCCAGCTGTATCTGCATCACCATGACTTTTGTTAAAATTGAGAATACATAGTATTCCAGTGATATTTATCACACAGTTTAGTCATGCATCACAGCGTCCGTCCATCCTGATGAGTTCTTCTTCCTGAAAGAGGTAAAATGAATTGTGCTTAACCTAAGGAAAAATATCTCATGTTATCTGAAAGATAAGAAAAGCATTGCATTTTAAGTATAGAATTCATCATGCAAGACAGTATTCACAAAGCAATGATTTGGTACAAAAGACACATTTTTACTTAAGATATATTGAGATTAGAAATCAGGAACCCATCCTCAAGGCTTGGGCAGGGACTCTGCCCCGTGTTAAATCCTTAATGCATCAATATGTGAGAATAAAGCCAGTGCCAGAACGGGTGCCCTTAAGAACAGAGATGATTTTTTTCTCTCTTGATTAACCAAAAAATATTTCTCACTGACAATAAGATTTCACCAAAGATGGTTTTAGTAGCAGAAGATACTTGTTTCTTATCACTGTACATCAAAGTGATGTGTACACCTTCCTTCTTCTATTTCTTTTCTACTGCTACTTCTTTTTTTAACATAACTATGTGCATAACTCAAGAGTATATAACACATCTTTATACTTCCTCCATCCTCTGTTAGTGAATATGCATGTGAGCAATATTTTGAAAATAGGCCGGACATGCCATAAATGTTTATGAATGAGAAATAAGAGATGAAACAGGATTCGTCTCTACAGAATTTACATCCTTTTACAAATTTAAACTTACAAAAGGTAGTAATACAAAGAAATGAAAGTTTTTCCTCTGAGTCTTCATTGATTGCCTGGGTAAGACTAAGACGTGTAAAAGAAAAGAAAGTTTCTTAAGTCAGTTTCTTGAAACTGAAGTGAGAACTTTGAAATATAGATTGAGTACCTTTAATCCAAAAACCCAAATTCATTAATCTTTTTATTAATAGTGTGCCATTTTTGGAATGGCACATTCAACAATACCTAATACAATTTTGTCTTTTCAAATTCTTCTTTTGTCTCTTCTGAATTTTTCTAGGTAATATTAATTTCATACAAAAATTCAAAAACTTACAACCTTCCACATATGTGGGTTAATGAATCTGCACCTTTATGAGCGACAACTGGATGCCACAGTAGAAAATTCCACATGAAGCAATAGGTCAAAGTCAAAATACAGATACACTAGAAATATTATGTATATAGAATCACATTCAGACTGTGTATAAAATAGATAAATAAAGTGAAGAAACAATCTGGGAAAGGAAGAGAGTAGTAAAAATGCTTTGCTGTCAATGGGAATAAGGCCATGAAGTGACAGAAGGTAGAGTAGTAAGTATTAAAGACCAATGGAAAGACCTAGGCTAATAATATGCTAATGACAAAGATTGAAATACAGAACCAAGTAGGATTTATATTAAGTCTAGCAATATATAGTGATTTAAAGAGACACAAGGATTGCACATATATAAGTTAATGCTGTTTTATTTCTAAATCATAAAGTTTATAAAGTAAAATATTTCTAAAATCACTCCAGATATGG